ACCGTAAATATAATGGAACGAATAGAAAAGGCTATTTTTATTAAATAACAAACATTTTCAAATCTCATTATTATGAATTCCATTGTTTTTTTCCCCCTCATTATTTCACATTTTGGATCTTTGTTTCTATTTTCAATTGCTATTTATAAATTATACTTGAATATTTCATTTAAATGATTTAATACACAATAATGGATCATAATGTTACAGTGCCATCCAGTGGTCACATGATAAAACAAGGCAACATACTAAGGAAACATCTAGTTTATTGTTTATTTTAGCACGAGAATGAACATCATTTGTTCTCGCACGTCAAGCAAACCTGCTTGAGCTTCTGTTTACCACGACTGATTTGTGAGTTGATGAATGTTTATATGTGAATAAAAGCTTAAATTCAATCAGTTCATCATTGAGTCTCTTTTAGCAAATTTGGACTAAACAACTCAATCCATATGGATGAAATTTACAATATATTAATGAAAGTTTTAAGTCAAAGTAGTAGTATTGTGGACCGTCTAAGGAGTGACATAAAGCTCTCAGATTTCATCAAAAATATCTTTATTTGTGTTCTGAAGATGAACGAAGGTCTCAAGGGTTTTGAATTAAATGAGGGTGGGTAATTAATGACAGGATTTGCATTGCTGGGTGAACTATTACTTTAAGATGCGTCAGTGCAAGTTACTTTCAGTTAAGACAGTTCAAACATCCAGTTTAGGCTGGGACTAATGTAAGCTTAAGCCTTGTCTGTGAAACCGGGCAATAATATGCAGTCTTACCATGCTGAAACTGAACTTCCACTCTTAAATACTGCCTGAGGAGGTCCATCACCACTGCCTTCATATGACCTCTGATGCCACTGCGGTACCTGGGTACACAACAGACATGAAGGGCCAGTTAACCTGTGTTTGTGATTGTGTTTAAGTCACTGATCTATACAAATGACTGGATAGCTCATTGCGTTCCAACAGAAAGCCACCAGAAGAGTTCCAACAGCCATATTACTAATCCAGTGACTTATACAGATCAGTGGTTTAAATACATGTGGAGGTTGTTCAAACGAAGGACTAACTTCTGAACCAGCTGTACAATACTCTGAGTGTTCATGAAGAAGACCTCTCTCTCTGACTTCCTGTTCAATGTGGCAGCATGACTGTCCAATATATTGGCAATCTGAGATGGAAATTTGACAACATTTATAGACAATTGTAGCAGTTTTATAGCTTCAGATAGACATGAATTCAAAAGGTCCACAAGCTGCACCTGCTGGCTGGGAAACTGGCAGAGGACAGAAGTGATGTTGCTGGCATATTGAGCCATTTCTTTCTTGATGGCCTTCTCTACGGCTGGAGGGATCCGGCCTGAAACACTCGTCATGATGTCCTGAAGCTCCAGAAGGGGCAGAGAGGGGTCCCTCAGAGTCTTCATCAAAAGCTCCACCCATTCCTTCAGCTAAAACACACGTATGCAAATCTGAATGCCAATTTACACCAAACCTGGCGTCACAAATTGCCCGCTATTCACTTTAAAGTCATCTCTGAGAAATGTTCTAGAATAATTTGATTATAGTTATTGCAGCAGGACATTTTGTGATATCCAATACAAGACAAAGTGTTGTAATGATGACATTAAAGGTAATAATAATGACATCCTTAAATCATCAATGTTTAAGATATTAGTGGTGATATTAATGATACTAATAATAATAATAATACAGAGCTTCAATTTACACTTAAGTGCAAATAGCCCACCTTGTGGGGAGAGGATATTTACACCAACTCCGCCCACTGACGTCTGGTGGGATAGACAAAATTACAAACCCAATTCCATAAAAGTTGGGACACTGTACAAATTGTGAATAAAAACAGAATGCAATGATGTGGAAGTTTCAAATTTCAATATTATATTTAGAATACAACATAGATGACATATCAAATGTTTAAACTGAGAAAATGCATAATTTTAAGGGAGAAATAAGTTGATTTTAAATTTCATGGCATCAACACATCTCAAAAAAGTTGGGACAAGGCCATTTTTACCACTGTGTGGCATCCCCTCTTCTTTTAATAACAGTCTGCAAACGTCTGGGGACTGAGGAGACAAGTTGCTCAAGTAAAGGAATAGGAATGTTGTCCCATTCTTGTCTAATAAAGGCTTCTAGCTGCTCAACTGTCTTAGGTCTTTGTTGCATCTTCCTCTTTATGATGCGCCAAATGTTTTCTATGGGTGAAAGATCTGGACTGCAGGCTGGCCATTTCAGTACCCGGATCCTTCTTCTACGCAGCCATGATTAGGGTTGGGTATCGAGAATCGAGTATCGATTGGAACCGGGACTAACTTTTCGTTTTTCCCGGAATCGTTCAAAAGTTAAAATTTCGATTCCTAGTTTCGATATTCACAGTCCGCCGAGCGGAAGAAGAAACCGCTGAACAACACCAACGAAGAAGCGTCTACCGGAAGTGTTGGCATAACCGCGCGAGTCGAACATGAGTACCTTACGTCGGCGATCCAAAGTGTGGCTTCACTTTTCTAAAAATAACGAAATCTCGGCAAAATGCAAAATTTGTGACAAAAGGAGTATTTCTACAGAAGGAGTATTTCCTTCAGAAAGGCCGTTAGTTAGGAAGGTTAGCTAAACTTTTTTGACCCTGCCTCTTAGAAGAATCGGAATCGAGAATCGTTAGGAATCGGAATCGAAACAAGGAATCGGAATCAGAATCAGAATTGTTCAAATTCAAACGATACCCAACCCTAGCCATGATGTTGTAATTGATGCAGTATGTGGTTTGGCATTGTCTTGTTGGAAAATACAAGGTCTTCCCTGAAAGAGACGATGTCTGGATGGGAGCATATGTTGTTCTAGAACTTGGATGTACCTTTCAGCATTGATGGTGCCTTTCCAGATGTGTAAGCTGCCCATGCCACATGCACTCATGCAACCCCATACCATCAGAGATGCAGGCTTCTGAACCGAGCGCTGATAACAACTTGGGTTGTCCTTGTCCTCTGTAGTCCGGATGACATGGCGTCCCAGTTTTCCAAAAAGAACTTCAAATTTTGATTCGTCTGACCACAGAACAGTTTTCCACTTTGCTAGAGTCCACTTTAAATGAGCCTTGGCCCAGAGAAAACGCCTGCGCTTCTGGTTCCCGTTTAGATATGGCTTCTTTTTTGACCTATAAAGCTTTAGCCGGCAACGGTGAATGGCACGGTGGATTGTGTTCACTGATAATGTTTTCTGGAAGTATTCTTGAGCCAATGTTGCGATTTCCATTACAGTAGCATTCCTGTGTGTGATGCAGTGCCGTCTAAGGGCCCGAAGATCACGGGCATTCAGTATGGTTTTCCGGCCTTGACCCTTATGCACAGAGATTGTTCCAGATTCTCTGAATCTTTGGATGATATTATGCACTGTTGATGATGATAACTTCAAACTCTTTGCAATTTTTCTCTGAGAAACTCCTTTCTGATATTGCTCCACTATTTTTTGCCTCAGCATTGGGGGAATTGGTGATCCTCTGCCCATCTTGACTTCTGAGAGACACTGCCACTCTGAGAGGCTCTTTTTATGCCCAATCATGTTGCCAATTGACCTAATAAGTTGAAAATTGGTCCTCCAGCTGTTCCTTATATGTACATTTAACTTTTCTGGCCTCTTATTGCTACCTGTCCCAACTTTTTTGGAATTTGTAGCTCTCATGAAATCCAAAAGGAGCCAATATTTGGCATGGCAATTCAAAATGTCTCACTTTCAACATTTGATATGTCATCTATGTTGTATTCTAAATACAATATTGAAATTTGAAACTTCCACATCATTGCATTCTGTTTTTATTCACAATTTGTACAGTGTCCCAACTTTTATGGAATTGGGTTTGTATGTAAGATGCTGGATTGTCAACAGTAGCAAAAGTGTAGGGATAAATTAATCGTTTACACTTGGTGTAAATAGCATCTATTGCCATTGCCAATAATAAAATAGCTGCTTAACAATATTACAGTTGCTTTCCAACTTCATATTTACATGATCAGATATATAATTAATAAATAAATGTATTGTTATAAATAAATAAAATAAAAATTTAATACATATAAAAATAAAAAGATTTTTATTTTATTGTGCTAATTTTATTGTATTTTATTGAAAATACTGATAAAAAAATAATAATAATTAAAAAAATACTGTTAAAGTTGTTGGTCTCTGATATCATAAAAATATGAGCAACGAAAAACGAAAAGTCTCCATTTAAAGCAGTGGTTCTCAACCAAGGGGCTTCACTAAACTTCAAAGGGGCCTCAAGGTGACTTACTGATTGACCATAAGACAAAATATGCATTTTAATAAGCTAAAACAACTAAGCATTAAGATATTTATTTTATAATCAATGCCTTCAGACACTTGAACAACCAGGATTCCAATGGCCTGGAAAAACCTGGATATATAAGATAATTTTTATTTTAAAGAGGCCTTATTATGCTCAATTACGAATTCATAACTGTGTTAATGGGGTCTACTAGAATATGTTTACATCATTTCATGTTCAAAAAACATTATTTTAAATCTTATTATTTAAATTGTTGCAGCACCTGTTTTCACCCTCTGTCTGAATGAGTTTTTCGGAAAAACTCAACCAGGCGTGGCAACCCCTATGGTGGGAATTATTTAAATGAGGAATATTTTGACATGTACGTTCCGGGAAGAAAACTGAAGACTACAATTGAGGCGTTTCAGGGAGTTCAGAAACAGTGTGCACTAACAAGAGAGAATATCTCCCTATGGAGTGGACTCCCTATGGATGCTCAAAAAGCAACATTACACACATTCAGCTTTTAAACCCTCTGAATTTGGAAATTGAATATGCAGAAACTAGTAGCGTAGGCCCTTCGAATATTGTTGTGGAAAATGGGGGCCAAAAGTTTGAGAACTACTGCTGTGAAGTCCAATAAAGTGGTTGAAGAGCTACGTGTGTTTTCTCACCCTGACACTGAAGAAGGGCTCTGGCAGACAGTGGCCGTTCATGATGTGCACTAGGTGATCCAGAGTGCTGTGGAAGACTCTATGAAGCTTCTCTCCCCGGAGAGCCACGGACTGAACAGTGGGTAAAGCTCCTGTATACAGCTCCGCCTGAAACAGACACACTCATTGGAGACACTAAACCACTTCAACTCTCTAAACTTCTGAAAGGGAACCTAACGAAAATAAGCTCACATACACACATCATACATTTTAACACATGGATATACCTGCTGTACTCTGCTGGGATCATCCAGCTGCAGTTTGGCGATGATACAGCCCGGCTCCAGCACCGCACCAGCTCTCTTCACATAGTGAATACATCCAGACTCAGAGGCGGTCAGGGTCATCACCATCTTCATCACCTAAAAGACATATATAGAATTAATAATGCACATGCAGTTTCTGTAGTCTCTTTAGTCTTGTGCAGTCAGACTTTGACTTTTGCCATAAAGTCTGGTCTACTTATGCATCTTATTTTACTTGAGAACTACATACTTAGACAGGAAATGGTCGCATCCTACACACCTCTATCTCTGCATAACACTGTCCAGCAAACACGTGTCCACCGTCCTCCACAGTATACTGGATGAGTTTCCCAGCAGATGGTGATCGCAGGAGTGAAGGGTCATTCTCCCTTTCAAACACACACGTCTTGTTTCCGATAATGATGCGATACCTAAGGAATAAAATAAAACACATGCTCAAATTATCAAAATAGGTAATAACAGATTAACATTTAAATTAATATAGTTACAATGTATGCCATTGATCATTAGTAAAAAAATAATCCAAATGTTTTTAAATTACCCCCTTTTTTAGCAGCAACTATATGCAATTTGTGATAAACTTATTACCTTAATATTACAGTCTCTTGAATTAAACAGAAATAATATAATGGAATAATTATGGAAAAATTTATATATTATCAGGATTTAGGGAAAATAATATGTTAATATTATTAATATTTCTTTTTTAACATATTGACAATAAATTAAGACAATAAAAAACTATTAATGCAGCATCTGTTTTAAAGGTGCTATATGTATTTTTTAGCGGCCTCTATCGGGGATGTTTCACATAACATGCTGGAAACTCATGTAAACTCCCACTGCAACGTTACAATAATAGGCTACCTTTATCAGCTTGACATTGAACTAATGCTCCATGCTCATACCATGATAACGTTACATTTGTGGTGTTATCTAGCATAAGAAATTTCACTAACTATTCGTGTATCTTTCACAATCAGCAATGTCAACATGTAGGTGAATGTATAATATGATAAAAAAAAAAGGTTAGTGAACTAGACTGAACAATTGCAGTGTCACAGTAAGATCATAGGAAGTAACATTACTGTACTGAACGTGTCTGGAAATGTGTATTATAAACAATTTGATAGTAGTGGGATGAGTGATGTTAGACACTAGATCTAGAACATAAAATAAAAGTCACATCCTAAAGCACCTACTTTTTGTTATCCTGGACAGTGTTGGGTGTAACTAATTACTAAGTAATTAGTTACCGTAATTTAATTACTTTTCCCTTGAAAATGTAAAGTAAGGGATTACTCTTCATTTATCTGTAATTTAATTACAGTTACTTCTGATTTAATTGAGGTAAATACTGTGTATAGATCAATCCGATCTCACAGCGATTCGTATGCATTTTATGAGGTGTCTAAATATTACGACCGCACTCAAATTCGTATGAATTATTGTAAAATATGTATGAAAAAAGTGTGAAATGGCATGAGATCAGACATAAAACAATAGTGGGTTTAACATCAAAATTTATTGTCTGGTGCTAAAATATGTTTTTATAATGTAACCTTCTCCACCTTGGTCAGTTTAAGGATAATTCATGCAATTTTATAGTATTTATTTGAAAGAATTAAAACAGATTCATGTCTATCCTTGTATTATTCAGCTGGTTGAGATTGATATGGGATTTTGAAAGTAATTAAATACTTTTTAGAGAGAGTAATTAGTACAGTAATCTAATTACACTGTTGAAGAGGTAATTAGTAACTAGTAATTAATTACTTTTTTAGAGTAACTTACCCAACACTGATCCTGGAACAGTCTTTTGTATTAATTTCATGTCTCATTTGTTGTATTTTACCTTGCTATTTCATTAGTTCACCATTATTTCAGCATATCTGAAAACTTGTAATTTATCACAATAAAAATAGCGGAGGTCTCTCCATAGTTCAAACGCTCTGCCGATGTTGATCCGTGTTTTCGTCCTAAGTCGATTCGATTCACGTTTGGCCTAACGAACTTCAGCAGATACATTTTTGTTTTTTGTTTTTTTATATTTATGTGGAGTTTATGTTGGAGTCTGTGTTGTGTTGGAAGCAGGTCGTTTTTTGGTGTTATCCAATTGACTCCATGTCATCAGCTGCAGTGCCGTTGCATAGACTGTATATTAAAAGGAGAGAGGCTCGGGAGCGCGCATGCACATCACATCCGATGGACTTTGCAGAAAATCCGACCCGGAGACTTCACACAGAAATAAGAATACTGGCCTTCAGAGGTAATAGCAAAACCCGACAAGTGGATCATTGTAATGTGTGATTACAACCCAATTCACACACAGGCAATAAAAAAAGAATTCATTTTAGAAGAAAAGTTACATATAGCTCCTTTAACAGTTTAACTGACAGAAACGTCACCAAAACACACTATATAAAAAGCAACAGCTAAATGTAAAAATGTATTTATAAAATTAAGGTTCTGTAAAAAAAATTGTTAAAAAAAAAAATGTGCAGTTTAGGCTTTGCTTGCAGTTATAGTGGTGTGAATAAGTTTTGTCCTCCATGCTAAAGTTGCCTAAAAAGAGGAATAAAAAAATCATCTTTTGGATATTGATCTTAATGCCTTAATTAGAAAAATGAGGAAAACTCCAACCTTTAAGGACACAAATTTTCTTTGTGAATAAATAATGTATCATAAATAAATAAATGTTTTTCCTTAAAATACAGGGTGCATAAGTCAGGGCACCCATATGTTAAATTCCCATAGAGTCAGGAAGATTTTTATTTTTAAAAGCCAGTTATTTCATGGATCCAGGATAATATGCATCCTGATAAAGTTCCTTGGCCTTTGGAATTAAAATATCCCCACATCATCACACACCTTCCACCACACCTAGAGATTGGCATGGGGTACTTTCTATAAGATCATCTTTCAATGCAAATCAAACCAGCTATTAGGCTAACTGAAGTAAAACCATGCCAATCTCTAGATGTGGTGGAAGGTGTGTGATGATGTGGGGATATTTTAATTCCAAAGGCCAAGGGAACTTTATCCCTGTATTTTAAGGAAAAACATTTATTCATTATTTATGATACATTATTCATTCACAAAGAAAATTGGTGTCCTTAAAGGTTGGAGTTTTCCTCATTTTTCTAATTAAGGCATTAAGATCAATATCCAAAAGATGATTTTTTATTCCTCTTTTTAGGCAACTTCAGCATGGGTGCCAAAACGTATTCATACAACTGTAGCTCAGTTTAACTGACAGAAACATCACCAAAACACACTATATAAAAAGCAACAGCTAAATATAAAAATGTATTTATAAAAAAAAAAATTGCAGTTTAGGCTTTGCTTGCAGTTATATAATCTACATAAAAAAGTAAAATACTATTTTTATGTTGTTTCCACATTTATGTGTAGATTCAATGTAATGCGATTAATAAAAATGCTTGTTTGAATAATGGACGTCCCTAACATACAAGTACATAAAAGCATACACAATACTAATGCAGCTTTGTTATTGTGGTTAAAATCAATATTAAAAAAGGGCTAAATAAATTAAATCTTCACCAATCGGAAAACGGCACAAAGAAGCTTCCTTTATACTGCATTGATTTATTGAAAGCATTAGATGTCATTCACCTTTTTATTTCATAAAAATATCTCGCAAAATCAATTAATTTTACTGAAGTACAAACCAGCATTTAAATATAGTTCTGCGCCTTAAATGATGAATCTACACATTGTTCAAGTATGTCCGAACTGAGAACCATGAACACACATGGATAGTTCTCCTAACACTATATCCTTGTGTTCTCCATCCTGTATTGACACTCAGAATCCTACCTGTCCACCTCCTCCTTCATGTAGGTGGTGTAGCTGCTGCCATCGTATGAAAGCAGAAGACCTCCATCGCACAACCGATGGACGTCCACCTCCGCTAAAGACGAATTCATGATGACTACATAAGAGTTAGGTGACTGTCTGGTCACCTTTAGAACATATTTGGTTCCCTCATAGATCAGCTCAACATCCACCGTGTTCAACAGGGTGTGCGCAGGTAAAACCTGCCCTCTGGAAACAAACAAGAGAAGAGAGCAAAAGGGTGAGAACATCCTATAACTGCAATAACAACTATTTACACAAAAAATACTTATTAGGGCTGGATTGATGGTGTTAATTAATCCATTTTTATTGATCTTCATTTTAATGAACCGATTCCAATTCATTCAATTTCAAAATCGTTCTTTTTCTCTATACCGTTTTTTATTTATGCATGAGCAAAACTTCACTGAACATTATTCATAGCATGACTATAATCCAATAAATCACAAAAAGCTTTCTGATATTTTGTTCATTTGAAAGTGTCAGCTTTCAAATTCGGTGAATTCAATCATGGAATTCAAATAATAAATACATTTCAGGTGATCTTTAATGTGGAGTGAAAGACTGTCTGCACAGAGAACACATGAACTGATCATCTTTAGTACTAGTTATAGCACGAAATGAACATGAGTTAACATCAGAAGGTATACTAATAGAAACAGTCCAAATTGCTTAAATGTATGATCTCTCATGTAATCGCTCAACCAGTGTTTCAACCACAGAAAGACATAAATAAACATCTTGTAAAGAACGCCATGTAAAGTTAAAGGTTGTATCAGTGATTTCAGTTGTTTGTTTTTGCGCTCGTGCACAGCGCAAAAAGGAGCTGAAGAATAAGTGAGCGTCTATCAACCCTATGCTATCAACGGATCAGATACATTTAACATGGAAGCGGCAATCCCCAAGAAGAGAAAGAGGATTGGGGTGAGGGAATACCGACGTATTTCGTCAAAGAAGCAAATAATAATCGGGAAGGTATTTGAACAGTGGAGAGAACTCAAAATTTGTAAAAATTTTAAATCAAACGCCGAGGTTGCACTGTTTCTTCTGGACAGGCGAGTAGCTTCTAGTGCTGACTTTTTTTAATGTAAACTGTGTGTGAAAATGAAGCTCGACTAAACTTGGATAGCTCTAGAGAATATCAGATTGTAGTAGAGCTGGGCGAAATAAAATCTCAGATTTTATTTTTTTAAATTCGATTTTTTTTTTACGATTCAACCTTTACAACTGATACAACCTTTAAACTTACCTCAGGAACACAATTGAAAAATAACTCCAAAGTTATTACATATTTATCATATTTTGACTTAAACCCACGTTATTTCGGACTCAAATTTATGCGTTTTAAATGGCGACACTATCAACGGCGAAAATAATCTGCAGCTAGGGCTGCTCGATAATGGTAAAATCATAAATCGCGGTTATTTTACTCAATATTGAAATCACGATGGTTTAACATGAATATTACATAAATTCATGGAAGTACAACTCCATAACAGTTACAGACAGGGTCCGAAATGAACTTTTTGGCTCACCTGCCACGCGACTGGTAGATGAAAAAATATCCACCAGCCAAGCATATATTTTTAACCGGCCAAAATAATAAACAGCCTTTTGGTGTCACGTATACATTAATTTATATATAGGCTACATTTAACACTTTTGTCATTATATTCCTGGTCAAAGCTAGTTCACTATTGCTAGCCTCTCCGCAAATTGCCTACCCTACCTTTAACATGTTATTGATGTCTAATTTATTTATGTCTGAATAAATATTTTACGAAAAAAAAAATTTATTACAGCCACTGTTGTAGGCTCCACAATTGAGTAGATATATAATTATCAATAAAAATCATTAGCTGATATAAAGCCTGCCTTATGTGCAATTTAAATGTTTTTTTTATTATTTGAGTGTTGATTGCTATATCTAAAAATAAATAGTAATTTAATTTGGACCTTGAATTTTGATTGAATGTTTTAGTAATGAACCAAACTGACAGGGTTCCCTGTATAGTACTTTAGAGCAGTGTTTCTCAAACTTTTTCAGCCCAAGGACCACTTTATCTTCCATTTTTTTTCTGAGGACCCCCTAACAAAATCCCACTGTAACACACCCCCAAAAAACAACAAAATTGTAAGGATAAGCTAAATTTAAGTTTAAATTTAACTCCTAACTGAGCTTTGACTGATATAGGTTTTTTATTTTTCTGTCAGTGAAGAAAGTAAACATAGGGTCAACTGATATAGGTTGATTTTGCCTATGAATAATTTTTTTATTTACTGAAAGCTAAAGCTTGGTAATTAAGTTTATTAACCCTTTCACACGTAAGTTTAAAATATTCTAACTGACCCCCCAGCGTGAGTTTTTCAAGGCGACTGTTATTTAGAACTTGCCACTTTAATGTTTCCATGGTGACGCGTCATTGCTTGTCACGTGACACAGCACAACCAAAACACGGCGCTGAATGAATGAAGGATGATCTGCTTTTGTGTAATTTTTCCTTTTTTGTTAAAAATATTCATAAATGTATTAGCTATAACATGAAACACTGATATTCCGATTGTCAAATATGTGCAAGTGGATGGGTTTGACATTGTTTAGACATCTTTATAACGATCGCGTTAGTTGAGCTGTATGCACAACGGGCGGTGCCATTTTAGTTTCTTTTTCAGTTCAGAGAATCAGATCTGTTGGATTTACAACGTCAATTCCTCCACTTTTTACGAAATACATGATAGTAAGTGGCTTGTGAACTGGGAGAAGAATAGGGTCAAATGTAGCTACTTACACAATGTGTATCTGATATGAATAAAACATGTTGTCTTATTATAACTGAAAAGATTATTGCCGCTTCCATAGACATCAGTGTGTATTTTACAAACTCAAAATCATTGTTTTTCTAGTACTTATGTGTATTTAAATGTCTGAAACCTAAAATAAACATTGAAAACACTCAATAGCTGTGTTATATGACAGCTCTGAGTGCGTCCGTCTCTGGCTTAGTGCCAGCCAGCGCGCGAGAGCAAGTTTGAATTTAGCAGTTGCTGACGTGATGCACTGAACATTCTAATCACACCGGTGTGATCGTACACTCCAGGGATCAGCCAAGAAGACTGATCACACTGGTACGTGCGAAAAAGTAACGATTTTGTAAATACTTGCCTAGTTTAGGTAATCTTTTCGCGGACCACTAGGGGGCGATGGCGGACCACTAGTGGTCCGCGGACCACACTTTGAGAATTACTGCTTTAGAGCATTAGTTGAGAGATTGACATGTACTGTACCTGATATTCAGGTATATCCAAATGAATTGGAATCGAACCAAAATTAAATTGTAAAATCTGTGTCAATACCGAGCCCAAATACTTATACTAAATATTGGACTAGTCATTCAAACAATAAAACAAGTGTATAACAATAAAGCATGCTCTCAAGATAGTATATAAAATGGTTTGTCACCTCTCCAGTGAGTGCAGGAAGTTGGACACACTGTTCCTGAGGTTGACATCAGCCACATGCAGTGCTCCACTCACTACTCCCAGCATAGTGTCAGGACGCTCTGCCTACAACCAGTAAGACAATCAAACTGACAACCATCTCCATTTGTCATTTAAATGATGTGACTGAATGGTAACTTGTAGTGGACTCAAATTAGGAAAGCGTATTTCAGCACCAAACATGAAATGTCAAAATACCTTGCTTTCATAGGCGAATGTTTGACGGGATTACAGGCATGTTCATGAGAGTTGTGATGTGAAAGGAAGACAGTGGATTCATGTACCTGCATCTTCTCTGAGATGAGTCGGTCCAGCCAACCCGTGTCGATGGTGTTGTGCTGGAAGCTTTCAGTTTCTAGCAGCTTTATGAGATACTCCACTGTAGTCCTGAAGTCTCCTCTGATGGACAGCTCCTTGAGGGCCACCACCATGTTCCTAACATGACCCAGTCAGCTTAATCAATAATACATCTCATTATCTTTTTTATATCAAATATAAGTAAACTGTTTTTTAATGGACTGCAGGACAAACGCTTGATTGATAAGAATAAGTGAACGGACCTGCATAACCTTTACATAATGATTCATTTATACATGATTCTTATATTTATGCATTATTTGCAATGAATTAAAACTGACAAGGTGAGTCAATTTGTGACAAACACTGATGTACTCTGCTTTTCTCAAGAAAAAAAATTTCAGCAAGAGGAAGTACTCACGAGATGGCTTCCTCTCGGTTTTCTCCCCAGGAGAAGCAGTGGCCAAACTGAGAGTCAGCAAACTCATGCAGACCTCCAGCAGCCGCCACACTAAAGTAGCCCCACACGTTCTTGTTACTGCGGAAATTTAGTTCCTGGACAGTTCCTGAGCTGGGCTTAAAACCCTGACACACACACAGACACAAAACAATACAGACAAAGCTTCATCTCAAGAAATGTACATGGCAATTACTTTGTTATTACCAATAACATTCAAAAGTGATTTTTTTTTTGTTTAGTATGATTTTTTTTAAAATGTAAAAAAAAAAAAAATGTATTTTGTTTTACCAAGGCTGCATTATTTAAAAACAGTAATATATTATCATTATTTATATAACATATATAACACACACACACACACATATATATATATATATATATATATATATATAAAACATGATACTGATACTCATTCTCAAAGTTTCATACACAAAAAGACTCTTAAGGCCCGTACACACCGGGACGAATATCAGCGCGCGTTATTCGTCAGTGTTTTTCAACGTGTTTTTCGCTGACGATGAGCTGAGTGAACATGCAAATTCATTCCCTGACATTAGATGGCGCTTAATGTAAAACAGAAATAATAATAGAATACTATACTAGGGTGATCATATTCATGTCTCAATGTTTTATTTTGACAGATAAAAAAAAAACGAATGAAATAATGATAGAAATATTATCTTATGTATTTAGAAAAATAAATAAATAATAAATAACTAAAAGAAATGCCTCCAAATGTAACAAAAAATAGCTCTCACAAACTTACACAAACGAACTAACAAAATCTATTTATATCTTTAGTTTTCATCCTCTTTATCCTGTTTTTCTTCCTCATCCACCTTGTTCGCCCATCTATATTTTGCTGTAGAACTGATCTTTCCCAGCAGTTTTTTTGAAAACCAGGACATTTCACTTAAAAACAGTCAGGACAGGA